GGGGGGGGGCTGATGACGACATGATGATAGCGACCTGACGATGACGACATGCTACTACCGTGATGATGATGATGATGATGACGACATGATGATCACGACATGACAATGGTGACATAGTGATGGCGACATGATGGTCACGACATGACGATGGCGACATGATGATGACGACATGAACACGAAATGACGATGACGACGACATGCTGCTGTGATGATGATGATGATGATGATGACGATGACGACAAAGCACTACGAAACCCTGAACCCCAATCCTGAATGCCTAATCTCGTATCACTTCAACACAACCCCTAGATTAAGTTGGTCGAAAACCCGCCAGAGTCCCGGTTCAGGAACTGTACCCCGAACTCCAGGAAGCTCTTCCAAACACCCATCATCCTGCAGTCCCTGCACCCTCCATTTTCACATGTCCCTAAACCCTGAGCCTAAAATCCCAAAGCCCTGGACCCATCCACTTAGGGTTTAGGGGTTTAAGGTTTAGGGTTTAGGTTCCCGTGCCTCCACTGGCGGCGCCGGCTGCACCAGCACCCAGGGCCCCCGCGCCCAGCGCCCCTCCGCCAAGCGCCCCCGCCCCCGCCCCCGCAGCACCTCACACTGGAAGTGCATGCACACTTTTTTTAAAAACCATTTCCATTTGGCTGAAAGCTAGCTCTCTATCCGTCAATCCAGCAAACTGAACCAGGACCGGGGCAGAGTGTAGGAGCTTCAGCCTTGAAGGTCTATAGGACATCATTGGACGGCGTGGGGTTTAGGAGTTTTGCCACGGATGCTTGACATGCACACTTCTGGATAGAAGAAAGTCATAGAGGATCTTGATCGACACTGTCAGGGGCCTTAGCAGGCCTACTAAGTCAGTCTATCTAAATTGACTTGGGGCTCACGAGCATGTCTGTGGTGTGGTTACAGTTGCTAGTCGTACTGTGGTTGTTCCTGTTGTGTTTGCTCTGCATGTTTCTGATCAGTCCACTTACCACTAAATTAGGTCGTGTGGCTGTTGCTGGTATCGCCATTACTACAGTGCTTTCCCCTACAGGTACGAGCTAAGTAGTAGTGGTTCGAGGGTTCAGTTGAACGTCTAAGGGACAAGTCGTGCGCAGCAATTGTAAACATGCAGGAAGCAGTTATGTCAGAATACCCACCCTAAACCCTAAACCCTAAACCCTAAACTCTAACCATTGCAGCTAAAGTGCCGAAACCCGCTGCCCCAGCGCCTGCAGGGAACCCGGCACCTGCTCTTTTGAAGGCTTTAGAATGGTTTAGGGTTTAGGGTTTAGAATGGTTTAGGGTTTAGGGTTTAGGGTTTAGAATGGTTTAGGGTTTAGGGTTTGAGAGCTTCTGTAGGGTTTAGGGTTTATATTATAAGGCTTGACAGGACTCCGCTGGGCTTCAAAAAGGCTTTATGTGGTTTCCCTGTGGTTCTAGAGCTCCAAGATTATGAGGCGGCATAGAGCTGAGTTTAGGGCATCCATGCAGGGACTCGGCTTTAACCCCAGTAGCCATCAAATTATCGAGGGCTGCTGACTTGGGTTAACCTCAATTCACTAATGAATAGAAACAACCTGGGCATCTGGCTATGGTGCAGGTAACGGTCCAGATACGCTCCCTTCTTAATTGACCTCGAGTGTTTCTTGTCCTGTAACACTGATCCTTGACCCTCATAAGACCGGAGCCCCATATACGATGGACATGATCTCTGCAAGTTGTACCCCAACATGTATCATCAGTACAGTCGTAAAATCCTAGTTATTGCATAATCCTTGGTGTGCTAGTGCATAAACTTCAGGATATTTATGTAGATTGTTGAGAACAATGAGAGTTTGGGGTCTTTCTTATGATGACTCATTGTTGTCACTACAGTGGGTTCCTTGAAGAGACTCTGAAATATGATGACCACCACATGCCGCACCACCCCCAAAAGTCACCCTAGACCCTAAGCCCCAACCTTTGCACCTTGGCCGAAGCCACCGAAGCCACCGTAGCCTGGGCCAAAGCCTTGGCCTTTGCCGTAGCCTTTGCCAAAGCCCCCGCCATAGCCGTTGCCAAAGCCACCACCTGGTGAAGGAACCGTCTTCAGGTTTAGGGTTTATGCTTTGGGGTTTAGGGTTAGGAGTTGTAGTGAGTGGGAGGTTATTACGGGTACCAAAACTGCAGGTATACTCCAAATCTAGTTCCTTCATGGCCGAGATGTTCTAAACTCCTGTGGCCGCTTGCATCCGCCTACTTGCAAGGCTGGCAAAGCTCCACGTGGAAAGACCTGCGGCAGTGACGTGGCCTTACAGACTCTGTCCGAGCCGCACGGCCGACTCAAGACTTAGGGTTTAGGGTTTAGGAGAATCAGACTACTTCTGTAAGAGCCGTCATCATTAGACTGAGGCTCGGGTGTACGGAACAGTACAAGTAATGTAAGCAGCTCTAAGATAAGAACTAATATCACTAGTGAGTCAGGCCCGGGGATTATGCTTCCGCCTCCTCTAAGGCCTTAATCTTTCTGATTTCCGGCATGGCTGGAATTGCCCCTCACACCGGCAAAAAACAAAAAAACACGCAAGAAAATCTACCCCCCGAACTCCAGCAAGTCATCGCCCGTCCTGGTCCGCCCTGCTGCCATCCGCCCCCTTGGTTCCAACCACCAGCTCCACCGTAGCCTGCTGCAAGGACGTCAAGAAAAGACGGGCTTACTGTCACGACTCTTGCGAGCTCTTCTGTCGGAACTCTTCATATCGTGATTATCATGCTGGTAATTATAGTCAGCAGTCATAGTTTCGTACTTTGTATTGTTTGTCGTTCCATGCAGTACCACACCTCCTTCTGTCCGGCTGGGTATATTACTACCGAGTCTGAGGCTTTTCTCTTTTTGATGCGGGTACTACGACTAAACCACATCCGTTGATACTCCTCCTGCTCCTAAAATGAAATTTGCCTTCATTATGTTCAGTCGCCCTCGTCCTTGCTTTGATTCTTCGTTGCATTCCTACCGCGTTCCGTTCTATTGATGGCCACTTTTCTAGCTGCAGCCTTTCTACCACCACCACAAACCGCAACCGCCGCCACACGACCAGGACGACAAGTACTACGGCCACCAACATGGCCATGACGTGCAGCAGCTGCTGCTGCTACTACGGGTTACTACCGCTGCTGTCACGACTACGTTGCCAATTAAAAAGTATGTCTCAGATTCCCATCACCGACCTTGACTCTTGAGCTTTCCTACCACTTCTTCAAATGAAATCGACACTGAAATAGAGTGCATGAAGTACTGCGGTCCTGTCAATCACGGGTAGTTCGAGGGATGGGATCTGTCCCTTCAGGGCTCAGAGAAGACCACCAGTGCAAACACCGACCCTGAGCTCGAAGGTTTGGAGGGCCGCTGGTCTCATAAACTACCATGGAATTACCCTTATCATATATACGATAATACTAACATCTACTACAATTAATGTATACTGGGTCGGCCTAAGATTCAGGCCTGTAGGGTTGCTTGCTCTAAACACACATGAGTGACAAGAAGCCATCAACAAAAAAACAACGTAGTGGCGAAGTGCTCTAGACCCTAGACCCTAAACCCTAGGGCTTAGGACTCTAGGGCTTAAGGCACTGAGTCCCAAAGCCCCAAAGCTTGAGACCCTACACTCCTGAAGCAGAAGCCTCTAAGCCCTGAAGCCCTACTACCCTAAGCCCCTAAAACCCGAAAAAGCCTAAACCCTAAACCCCACCTAAACCACCAAAAGTAGGTAAAATAATGGCCCAAAACCTCTAAAAGGCAAAATTCTACATACTTTTGGGGTCCAGGTGACCCCTAGGGTCGCCTGGTTGACCACCATGGCCACCATAGCCCCCATATCCGCCGGCACCACCGCCGGCACCGCCGTAGCCCTTCCCGGAGTGTCTCCTCAGGCTCTGCGGCCCCGTGCCTTAGAGGCAGGATCAACATTGATCGCACATAAAACCCACAGGCATCAACACCCACACACACACAGACACACACGCACACACGCAGTAACTATATTTGTGACCATCATCATCAACATCATCCCCCTCACAAAAGCAAATGGCCAAGCAGATACAGTAATTAGTTGAAACACTTCACACGGCAGCATCTCCAAGAACGCTACCGTGTGAATGCAAGTTGGCCGCCCCTTTATTCTGTTTCGCCTAAACCCTAAACCCTAAACCTACTATGCTCCTGAACTCCTCTTCGTCCAGCAACCCGTGCATGAGGAACAGATAACTTCGGAAAGTAACGGACACTGACATGGACCGAGTGAGTATAGTTTTGTAGGACTCTTATTCACATCGTCCCAAAACAAGGGACACCTCGTTGTAGGGATTCAGAAGCCCTGATCCCCATGAGGTTTTAGGGTTAGTTCACCCGGTTTTCCCAGAGACTCCAAAACCCCTTAATTAAGGAGTATACTTTAAATCTTACTAGGGCTCCTACTATAATTTAAAATATATTCCTTAATTAAGGGGTTTTGGAGTCTCTGGGTTCTTGCAGAGATTGAGGGCCAGCCCGAAACCCTAAGAAAGCCAAACTCAGTCAAGCTGCCCTCAGGCATGTCCCCGTGGCCCTCTTCTACGGGAACGTAGTGCGGTGGCGGCGCCAGAAAGGACACGGCCTTGAGAACCCGTTTGCGCTTCGTGAGCATATGCATAATTCTCTGAATCGGGGTTCCCTTAGAGCCTTCGCGTTCTCTTGGTTAGAAGAGTGACCTACGCGTTGGGTAGTCCCCAGGCAACAGACCTAAACCCCAGATTTTTCCGCGGTCTGCATGAATAAGGCAGGTTCTGCAAGGGCCTCTTTGTTTTTGAAACTCCCAGCATAAATCTACGAGGACAACGACGAGTCCTACGACAACGACGACTACGACGAGCACGACTACGACTGCTACGACGACGACGACGACAACTTCTACCCTTAACCCTAGACTGTGAGCCATATATTACGGTTACTCATGTGCTGTGTCTTTGGCTTCGGACCTCCTATATACCTGGGAGGGGCATCTGCCGCGTTGGACAAATCTTCAGAGATTTCGGGGCACAGGATTTAGTTTGGTCCGGGTTTCCGATTTCAGGGGAATCTTCAACCCTCTAAGTCTAGCCCTAAACCCTAAACCCTTTTTTGCCCAAACTTCTGCAGAGGTTTGGGGACTTTGGTGTTATAGCGCTCAGTCAGGGGCTACAAGAGTTTCGCCGAATAGCAAAGTCGGGTCAGTGCTTGGAGGGTCCTTGCGAAAGAATGGCTCTCTTTAAAAGGGTTTAGGGGAGTTTGGGTTTAGGGTTATAAGGTGCACATCAGTTTTGTCCCGTCCCTGACCCTCTGTGACCCCAAGGCCTTCAGCAGATGTCCTAGTTGTTGTGCTTCCTGGTCAAAAGCGGGTAGGTTACTTGCTGAGCTACGAAGATTCTAGACACTAAGCCCTCTACCTTAAAACTCAAGAGTCCCCGAGATAAGGGCCTGAATGATTAGACGAGGGCTATGTGGGTTAAAACCCTAAACCCTAAACTCTAATAAACCGTAAACTCCCCGAAATCCTAACTGTGACTCCACCGGCCTCTTTGGATCTTCGCTGCACCTTTGGCCGCACATCGCCTTCCGAAGGCCGCCACTTGGGAGTGCGTCTTTGTGTGGGTTACCGGGTTGGGCCTTTTTTTAGGGGATGGGCACGCCCGTGAGTGCAGCATATTTGCTTGTGTTTGTCTCTCTCTGTGTGTGTGTGTGAGTGAGTCTGTGTGTGTGTGTGAGTGAGTCTGTGCGCGTGGCGCCCCAGTCGTTCTCGGAAGAGGGCTTCGCTTCTTGTTGGTGTGCGCTTTCCCTTCTTTTCGTGCATGTTTCCGTGGGGAATCACATCGCCTTCTCCACAAAAAACCTTAGCACGTAAGTACGGGGAGAGAGTTTTGCCCTTGGGCCTGTTAGAGCTTCTTGGAAATTGCCATGCTGTAGCCGCGAATTTCGACATTTAGCGTTGTGTGAAGAACTCACAAAGAATCGGTGAACGTAGCTTTGGGCTTATGGCTCCAGGCGTCTGAGTTCTCCAACAAGCCCTTGAGAATGACCCCAAGAAGCGAAGCCCTGAGACAGAAAACCTGAAGCACAACTGCCCCAAACCCTGAAGGCCCTAAGCCCCAAACCGAAACCATAATCCCCAAACCCATATTATAAACCCGAATCCCCTAAACCCCTGACGAAGCCGGGTCAGGGCACAAATGTCGAGGAAGTCCTTCGGTGAAGCTTCGGACGTCGGGCGGTCGCTTTGGGGCCCGGGGGGTTTAGGGTTTCGCATATGGGGAGCTTTGGATTTGGAGGTTTAGGGGATTTTGAGTTTTGGGCTTTAGAGATGCAGGGTGCATGGACAAGGATGGGATTCAGCGACTTGGGCTTAAGGTTTGGGGGCTTCCGTCTTCTGGCCTTTAGAGGGTTTGCCTTTGGAGTGGTAGGGTTTTGGGGGTTACGATGTGCGGTTGAGAGGCATGCAAAGTCTACGTCTCTTAAATGGGCCGCTGTGTTTAGCTAAACCTGCGCCGCCCTAAACCCTAAACCCCAAACCCTAAACCCCTAAACTCTAAACCCTAAACCCCAAACCCTAAACCCCTAAACCCTAAACCCCAAACCCAAAACCCCTAAACCCTAAAACCTAAACAGTTTCGACATCGACGAATTACGGTACTGGGTGCTTCCGACTGAGAGCCTCACGATTCGTCAATGAAGAGCTTATCACTGATAACTCTCCTTCTCCACAAATTACCCATAGGCTCCATTGTAGTTCCTTTTTGCGGTTTATATTTGGGATTCTATAAAGGTAATCCCAAAAAGGACCTACTATGGAGACTATGGGTACTGACTAAGCCCTGATCCTTCACCAGACATCAGACTGTTTAGAGGTTTAGGGGTTTAGGGTTTAGGGTGTAGGGTGTAGAGTTTAACCGTCCTCACCCTGCACCCCAAGAGCCGCTAGAAGCCTAGATTTCGACCTGTCACTCTGCAACACTTCATGTCATGAACCCTAACACACAACTGCCAAAAGCGGTGTTGGGCTTTGGGTTTAGGGAGTTCAGGGCTGAGGGTTAAGAATTCAAAGAAGCCCCAATCGCGTCCTTGTGGAGCTTGGCTTTGGGATGGTATGCGTACGCCTGCGACAGTTCTGCAAAAGCTGTTGCAGGATGGGTTTAAAAAAAGACGAGGCAACATCAGCAATTGAGCAGCCAGGAGGAAGAGCCAGTAGAATAATACTAATAGAAATAATAATAATAATGCTGCACATAGCTGGTTGTATGGATCAGTCACTACAAGCCAGCCAGTGCAATAACCAAGCATTGATACGACTTGATACGCCACTCATCAAGAACCGATGCTTTGTCATAGCAAGGATTCAGAATCTATGACCCGGCACCAATCCGCCAAGCCATCCCCCTTGTAGAATCCTTCTCATGAACTTCTGATACCTGAACCCCCCCCAAGCCCCAAAACCTGCTGGAGCGAAACCAGAACCCATTCCAGCACGACCGGTGCTCTTATTTGGCGGGAGCCCGGGAGGAGGTGGGGGTTTGGGGGGGTTACCGGGTATGTAATTGGGGCTTGGTAAGCTTATATTACACTGCCATCGATGCTCCGGAGGAATACGGCACCCTAAACGCTGAACCCCATCCTACCTCGGAGCTCTCTGCATCGTGAAGCAAGCTGGAAAAGCGAGCGAGGACACCCATGGTAGCACGGCCAAAAACGGCTGGATCTCTGTGGGGATGTGTTTTTTGTTAAAGGGCACTGAATGCTGGTCAGCAAGTGAGAATTTGCCTTTGGGGTTTAGGCTTTGAGTTTGGGGTCTACAAGTTGCAGGTTTTAGGCTACTACAGTCAGAAGCTTGGAGTTATTTCAGTGTTGAAAGCCGGGGCTATGGCTGCGGGTATTTCAGGGATTTCAGGTTAAAGAGTTGAGCTGCAACGCCCGCCGAGGGAGACAGAAGGAATGCGTGCGCATCATGGGAAGCTTGGCCGATATATGCAGACTGCATTGACTACGTGCCTGTGCTAAACGATCGAACCCTGAGCCTCCACTGGCTACACCAAAGACAGGTTGAAAACTCAACATCTCGGCCTTTCCAGCGAGGGAAAGCGCATGACGTCGGCGCCAAGAGAACTCAGTCTTGTATGCCATGCTCCGCACCTTTGAAGGATCAGAGGCTTGTAATGGCCAGGATATGTGCCCGGCACCTCCGATTTTTCGTCTCCCAAGAGGGACCAGGTGAACTATGGCCCTGAGGACGAAGTCATCGACAAGTGTATGCAGGGGTACATAATCAACTAAAACAGGTAAACAACTAAGCCATATTGACGAGGCCCTACATGAAACTCATGAAACCCTCCCCTACTCAGAACCTACATGCAAGCACAGCTCACAGATCCTGAGAGGAGTGCGAAATTCAAGCACCCCGGCCCGACACCCGAGCCACGACATATCGTTCAATCGAGCACCTACTTACGAGCCCTACGACTTTCAGATCAGGAGGACGTATGTTAGAACACTGAAAAAAAGAAGGCTATGGTATGTAGTTCCAGGCATCCAGAGCCCCGGATGACTAACCTCACCCACCACCCAGCCTTCACAGACTTTCGTGTTCAGCTCGCCCCTCTGCCAACCATCTGCTCTGGCTTGCTCTGGGCTTCTGAAGAGCTTGTTGCTGCAGCCGAGGTGGGTCGTCGCTCGCTGCGCCAGGGAGGAGAGGAGCCGTCCATGCATCCGACGTTGACCATCAGCACCCGCGTCAACCTCGAGATTTCATTGCTTCATGTACACCCTCTGGCCGAAGATATCGCTCTGGTAGATGCCCAGGGCAGGCATGCGATAAGCATCGGTGATGTCCAGTGTCACGTATCCTGCACACAGGCAATCTTGAGATTCGGAGCTTAGCGTTTATGACAGTCTGGAAAGCACTCCAGGACTCTAGGATCCGAAGCTGCCTGGTCTCTGAAAACCTCAGCAACTAAATTTTGGCATAACTGGGGACCTCCGGTATACGACGCCAGCATCGACAACAGCGCATTGCCGTCCGTCTTGCCCAGAATCCTAGGAATGCAAGGTGTCACTACCAGTGGCAGCAGCCACGTCATCGTAAAAGAGAAAGCGGCTTAGTAACGGGGTGATGCTCTTAGAGTCTTAGAGTTCAGGAACTAGAACAGTGAGGTCGTTGGGGTTAGCAGAAGGAGAAACGGCCAGTATGTAGAAGCACCAACCAGCACGATGGCAACGACGGCCCCGGCGACCACGATGTCATGGCCTCAACCCTTAAGCTTATGCCCTCGTGACCAGTGTCGTGGAAACTGTCTCGAGCGCACGAGTTCCAACCGGTGTGCCACAAGGCAAGCAATTGGATTATCCTCATGGTTGAGAGGGGTAGTTCTCTAATTTAGGGTCCCTTTTAGGGTCCTTTACTATATTGGGGACCTAAAAAGGGAACCTACTTTAGAGAACTACCCATAAGGCTTTGGCCTTGGCCTGCTTGAGATGATACGGGCAGGTGCTGTGTGATAGGTTTAGGGCCTAGGGTTTATTTAGGGTTTAGGG